AAAATCCTGCAGGATTTTAATAATATCCCTCAGGATTTTCAATATTTTCCCACAGGAACTTTATATTTCCCATGGGAATTTTCTTTTCAAAGGTGATTATCTCACCTGACAGATGAGATTTACCTGTAACAAAGGTAGTTTTGAACTCTGTAAGTGATGGTCTACCACTTGGTATACATGGTTTTTATGTCAAATAAGAGTTTGGCGGGCGCCAATTTGCCACTTTGGAAGTGGCAGAAATATCCGGCACAGTGTTAAAAGCTCAAACCTGAAGTTCAAATCTGAGAAACCTATATCGTAAAAAAGGGGGAATGTAAACGACTTTCTTGCAATTTTCTTCAGATAAATGGCTCTTCTTAACATACCGGGTATATAAGAGGGGTCTGTTGTGTGATCTGGAGGGAGCGTTTCTAAGGTCATTTTTCGTTACTCTGCATGGAAATTTATTAACTCCGAAAAACCAAGACCAATATTTTGCTTTCGTGACATTTAATTTCCACAATTTTTTTGAAATTTTATAAATCTCTAAATTGTTGACGTGTTCGTGTTCTCGGCTAGGAATATATAGCTTTTTAATTAGGATTGATTGATTTGCATAACTCCGAGTCGGCGATATATATGGAAAAGTACATATATTTAAATTTTCACGTTTACGTACAAAATGCACATTTTTGGACAAAGACGCTAAACTGTACATCTTCAAAAATGTTTTTAAAAAAGATCGGAGAGCTTTTACAGTCATCATATATTGTGGACACTGATTGCTTGTTTATTCAATTTCTTTTGTACCCCTTATCCCCCTCCCCCTAATAAAGAAAGAAAACAAAACAAAAATTTTATAATGAGAGATCCCTTTTTTAATGCAAATCTTTTGATAAGAAATTGTGTAACTCAACTGTTATAATGCATACATGAAATATCGCCGAAACCAACGAGTTTTCAATTGCCTAGAAAGGCATGCCAAAACCTCTTATTGATCAATGTAAATTTGTAGATCAGGTTGCTACGAAAGAATTAACTTTTGTTATAATTTTTTTTTTTTTTATTTTCTTTTGGTTTTCCCTTCCGCATCACACCCCGTCGTTGTGTACTTTCACTTTCGATGCTAAACCTACCGAAGTCATGATCTCTCACAAAATTAATGTCAAATAAAATATATTAAAATTTGTTAAATGAATAAGGAATCAGAATTTTCTTCCTTTATGTTGTTCACTGGAAGCCCATAATGTTTGACAGTTTGTTTGTTTTTTTTTTTTACTGAAGATGAAGTGGTAAAAAAATGAAGGAAAACCGAGAAAAAAACGTGCGTTGTTTATGACGTCAATTCTCTGTTTTATCAATGCCGCATTTGGGCCAGAAGTCTCGTGACGCGTCACATATTTTCTAATATTTACATTTCCAAATATTTTTCTTTGATGAACCTATTGAAGAGAAAATATGTTCAATTCTGTATGAACTTATTAGGGGGTCAGAGGTCATGGCGTGACCGAATCACACAGCGAGACGATATCATATTTCTGTCACAGTGACACTTTTGGAACTTCGAAACCGTTAAAGCGATGAAAAAGATAAAATAATTGAAACATATATTTGTTTTTTTCGTTCAACAAATGATCATTAGATCTTTCTTTGGTGTGAAGAATGTTTCCTAATTAGCCTAAAATCACGCTTACCTTTTTAACCCGAAATTCCTTTGAAGGTATGTAAACTGAAGACGATAGCAGCGCTTTTGACTTCATATATAAAGAACTCATACAATAATAGTAAGATTATTCCCAGTAGCTATCATTGTTTTTTCATTATGAACAGATATTTCCTGAACTGGAATGCTGAACACCAATGTAAATATTCAAATGTTGGAGCGAGGCGAACTCTCAAGACCAAACAGCTTCTAGGTCATGTCGCGTCACAACATAGCAATACGGCAGGCCGTTCGTGTAATAAATGCAGTTCTATTCAGAATATTCGTCTCAAATGTAAATAAAAGTAATAAACAACAATGTTAAAAAGTTCACTGGGAAATGAACTTGGTTGGTACGTGATCAAATCTTCTGAGAAGCCCTTCGGGCTTCACAGGATTTGATCACGTGACCAACCAAGTTCATTTCCCAGAGAACTTTTTAACATTGTTGTTTATTTCTTAAATATTTACATTTCCAAATATTTTCCTTAAGATTCCTTGCAAATTAGAATACTGTTCATTTTCTCATGAACTACCATGGATAAGCATGATTATCTCTATTGTTACGTCATGATACCGTACTTGACGTCAAAACTATAGTGCAAACTGTTTTGCTTTAAAAATGGCAGTTAAATTGTGGCAACTCATCAGAATAATAATGTAAATATAAGAAATGAATTTAATTTTTGAAAATTCATGAGGTTCATGAACTACAACGCTTCACGCCGGCATATTTATCATGAAGCGCTAACGCGCTTCATGAAATATGCCGACGTGAAGCGTCTAGTTCATGTCCTCATGAATCTTCAAAAATTAAATTCATTTCTTAAATATACCACAGTTGAATTGGTTCATTTTCGTGACGATCAAAAGCATGTACCTATATAAACCTGCGTGCGACAATTGGAGGGCATTAGTAATATTACCAGTACTGATTTTGCACAGTTCTACGCATAAATATGAGTTAGCGAGATTAAGGACCCTCTCTTCACCAGTGCAAAATGTTTTTTGGACATCGAGAAAATTACATTGAATAAAGGTGTAAATATTGAGCTTATCTATTTAAAGTTTAATATATGGTGCGTGGCATTTACCCCCAGGAAAAATGTTCAAACACAACACAATATCAGTGATCAGCAATCACTGTTGTTTACTTCCATGAAGAAAATACATGTAAATAACATGTTCAATTAATTTATCTGGCCTTTTAAAATGTTAAGAATATATGTATTGATTACAAATTGAGTAATATACTGTGAATTTCTATTTATTGGAATTTAGATCAAAGGGCAGATCACTCTAATTGCAGAAAAATACCATTGAGTCGGAACTCTTTAGTGTGCAGTGTAGAGAGGGTTCTTAATTTCAGAAAGAGGATTTTTTTATTATTATTATTTTTTTTAAAGATAAATCTTTATAACAGTATGAAAAATTGTTGTTAAAAAATATTTAAGTGGTGTACATGTGTTTCATAAAATAACTTTGGATTGAGGATAAGAAAATAAAAAGTACCTGCAAATATCAAAAAAAAAAAAAATCATATAGCTTTTGTCAATCGAATAATGAATAGAATTTTAAAAAATGTATAGAGAATCATAATTTATTAATATCAATTAATAAAAGTAAATTTAAATTGTATATTAACAGGCATTGCTTATACACTTACAAGCGTACGTGTACATATGTTTTGATTTACATCAGATGCCAACCGGCGTGCTGATCGAACGCCGGATTCACTTTCTGGGTGTACTTTTGAAATTGTTTTCCGCTATTGGGATTCACTCTGCGTCCGCTTTGGGTGGCTTTGGTTGTGCTCCGGGTTCGCTCGGGGTCAAGTCTTAGAGGATCCAAAGCGAACACGGAAAACGAACGGGGTCCGCTTTCTGCTAGGTTGTGTCTGGTCGGTACTGTATCTCTAAAAATTTTCTTCTCAAGAATAGCAAAGCCATGATTAGTCACATTAATATAGAAGCATCATCAAGGTAGTGTATATAAAAGTTTGTTCAAATCAGGACTCCAGAGGATAGGACGGACCACAACAGGGGGTAAAAATGTTACATAAGAAATATTGAAATTCCTTCTTAATAACAACATATTTTTATTGAGGTAATGAAGGTAACTCAGGTAATTCAGCTCTGTTCCTATTATGATCCCTGCGGGTAGGGCTGTCTACAACAGTGTGTCAAAGTTTAACATAGGAAAATATAGGATATATCTTTAAAACTGTTCTCAAGAACAGCAAAGAAATAAAATTGTATTAATGTAGAACCTTTGGCAGTTTTTGGAGATTTTGAGAGGAGATTTTGATATAGAAACGTGGTAAATGCAACGCACTTAAAATTGCGATATTTGATGACGTAATGGAGCAATGAGTTAAGAACACTTCAGATATGAGTAAAGAAGCCTGAAGAGACGTTAAATAATACAAAAAATATAACAATAGAGGCTTGTTACTTTACTCCTTCATATAGGAATTTGCAGTTGACTTTTGCACTAATGTATGTAAATTTAATGCAATTGTGATATGACAAAAGAAGGTCCAAATGTTGGTAACTAGGTGCCTATAAATTATGCATTTTTCACAAAATAGAGGTTTGCCGAAAATATTTATTTTTAAGTGTCTCTGATTGATTTAAATGACATAACATAATTGTCAACTAATTTCTTATGCGTGTGGCGTTGACTTGAGGATGGGAGTGCCATAATAGCCATAAACTGAATAGGAGAAATCAAGTAAAATAAAAGAAACCAGTGTAGATGGTCCTTACATTAAAAAGTTTTTTTTTCATCATTTGTTTATTTGTATGATTATGTTAATCAATGTAAAAAGTAACCTTTGTCTAAATGCAGAAAGGTCATTTAAAAAATGAAGACTTAACATTTATTTGTTGTTCGCATATAGATTGATTGTATGTTGTTTAACATCCCATTCGAGAATATTTCACTCATATAGAGACGTCACCATATACCGGTGAAGGGCTTCAAATTTTGACCTTTACTCGGCACTCAGGGCCATTGAGCAGTGAGGGATCTTTATCGTGCCAACGCCTGACGAGATACGGGGCCTCGGTTTTTAAGGTCTCATCCGAGGGACCCGCAACTTTCAATTCAAAGTGCCGAGCGCAGGGCGAAGGGACAGTTGCTACCCATTTTTTTTATCGACTTAGGTTAGTCGCGACCGAGATTCGAACTCACGAGCTCCCGATCACGGAGCGAGCGCTCTACCGACTGAGTTACCGTGAACGGTTTCGCATATAGAGGATTGCTCGTTAAGCTTGTATCAACTAATTTTTCTTGCTATTTATTGCTATTCTTGCAGATATTTGTTGGTAATACAGACGAAAATTCAACAGCGAGTCATAATTTTGATTGTCCAGTGATTGCAAAATGCATCAGAATAAATCCTTTGGAATGGAATAATCATATCTCTATGAGGTTTGACCTGCTGGGCTGTGCATTGGATACTGGTAGGAGCACTTATACATCTGTATGAATTGAATGTACAGAATAAAAGGAACATTACTGTTGATTAAGACTGTTTACTAACTGGCATCACTGTTGGTAGCCTGGATTTCTTTAGATAAAGATTGAATCAATATATTATAAAAACGAACATCTTTGACAATGTCAGAGCTAAAAGAATGTATGCATCAGAGCCATGATGTCAGAGCCATCATGTCCTAATATAAACGATAGTTCATTTAAAGTAAATTTGTTAACTTTACTTAGGCAATTCTTCAACTAATACAGCAACAGCTCCTATCGGTAGCAGTAACAACGTGATTGCAACTACCTCCAGAAACACAAATGCCAGTCCAGCTACAACAGCAACCAATAACAAAACTGTAACAAGCAGCAACACAACACCAAACAGCAACACAATAATTAACAATACTACTCCAAATATCATGACAAGTAGCCGCATTTCAACATTTTCAAGAATTACATCTCTCTTGTCAACACAGTCTGTAACTTCTGGTATGTTTTTAAACGATAACATGTTTTTCAGTACAGAATCGAATGAAAACACATACAATATTTAGTAGATTTTTAAAATTCAAGAATGATTTTGCACTCAATTGTTATATTAAGAAAATTTCTTTTTCATAACCGGATTAAACCTTTTCTCATTCTAAGCAGGTGCCACAACAGTGTCAAACAGCTCAAAAATTAAAGCAGGAAGTAAGTTGCAATATTTTGAAAAATATAAATCAAAATGAGTTTTTAATACCAAAAAAAAAGTTCTAATTGTAAAGTAGACCATTACAGATGTTCTGCAAGCATCCCCTTCCCCCTTTTCCCTTTTTGAGCCCCATTCCCCATACGCTGCATTAAATTAGGTAAAAACCTTTGTATATTTATAAATTTATTTTCTAAAATATTTTGGAGAAAAATAACAAAATATATGTAGCGAATTAAATATAACGAGAATGCACGTGACTTCAAAATTTCCATATGCATTGTCTCTTTGTATTCCATAATAATGAGCAAAGAATTTCACTGAAAGTCACATATACCTTGGTATGAATAAATTTTGCTTTTAATCACAATGTTTTTTAGTTTAAGGTAGAACCTATTTCGAAAAGTCTTTGTCACAAGATTTTCAAACCTTTCAAACTGATAAATTAGCACTGGCTTATCCATCAGTTTAAATTATATGGTTTGTCTCCTTTTTGGCTTTTTGGGAAGATCTGTTGCAGTCTCGATAGCAATTGGAACTTGTTATAGTTGTTTAGTCATATAAACAAAAGTCATGGGAATTGGTTGTGTATAATATGTAAAATTAAAGTATTTGATCAACGATTACTTTATTGATACAAAATGAATTGATTTTTTCTTAATATAGGCAACTAATTTGTATAACAGAAAGCTCTATGAAAGTCAATGTTCAGATAAAATTCATAACTTTTACTCCTAGCATGTGTGAAAGACTGCAAAGGGAAAGCCAGTGGTGAATATCAGTCCTGTAAGACTTGTAAGGGATACGTGACTTGTGTTTGGGGTATTCTCTACGAGAGACAGTGTCCCGCAGGCCTGGAGTGGAACGCAGGTCTCAAAGTCTGTGATTGGCCAGGTTCTGCAGGTTGTGCTCTAGCAGGTTAAGTCCAAATGGACTCTTGATCTTAACAGACTTTTCAAATCAATTAAATGTAATATCAGTTCAATATACCTTGTTTCTTCAATACATGAATTAATTCATTAAGTTATTTGACATTTATAATAAACTAGTCTGCAACCTTTACTTCATTTTTTTATATTTACCTAAAGAAAAAACAATTTGATGGCGGAGAGCCCTTGTAAGATTTTGAGGGCAATAAAATAATTTTTTGTGAAACATTTTGGGTTCAGCTATCCTATAATGTGAGTTTTTAAAGAAATTGGCATAATTTTATAAAGGGGTGGAGGTGCAGCAGAAAATAAAAAATTGACATTATACATGAAGAAATAATGAGAAAAAAAAGAGCAAACTCGAGTAAATCAATTATTGGGATGTCCAACTTTCCCGACGATTACAAGTTTAAATACATGCAGCATTAAATTAATGTGGGAAGATTTGACCATCCTACAACAAAAAAGTTCAGGAGCATCTGACTTAATAAAAAAGGGAAAACTTTCATACTACCTGCCTGTCATATTGTAAAGGATTGAAAATTGAAGTCATCGTGCTTATCATAAAGGTTTGCTGTTAGGTTACAATTAAAGTCTTTTTCTAGAAAAATATCCAAATATAAAACATGTGTCAGACTCTGGTATCTTTAATTTCAAGCTCACTGGGGTATATAGAATCGACAAATGTGTGGAAGTATCTATTGTTAATTAATAATACGTCGTCGATATATCTAAATGTCAAATTGAAGGCCACAGCGTTTTCTTCCTCTCATGTAGAAGTTTTTGTATAAATTGTTCTTTATATGAATTAAAAAAAATAATGTCTGCATCATTTCACATTTTTCGCTTCTTCATTTCCCATGAAAATTTTCTCATACTATAACTTAATTTTTTGATATGAGTGGGCCTTCAACTAATTTATTTTTTAAGTTTATCCACAAAGTTTGCTTAAAATTATACATTTTATAACAAAAACATGGAGTAATGACGAACTTTACCTTAAAAAGTACACTTTCATGACATAAAATTCGCATCTTTCCGAGAAATACTTTGCCCATTTTTTGAAGAGTCAACACGAATTAAATGCCACTATTCATAACGAGTTGTGTGGAGTAGTGGTTAACGTGTAAGCCTCAAAAGAAAATATATTTCTAGGGTTCGAACACCACGAATACGTTGTTTATTATTAACAGCATAATTTTTGCTGAAAAAATTTTCCTCAAAAAAGTTTTCTTTATCACATTTTCATAAATTTCGATGAGAACTTATTCTAAATATTATATTTACAGATTGAATGGATTTTTTTTATCTGTAGCTATAGGAATTCCGCACGCCTTGTTCCACAATGTCCTTTTTTCATTTGTTAAAGTTTTATGCATTTCATATCCGAAAACTATTTATATACATGCATTAATAATATTATATGGATCACCCTAAGCATTGAGCGTATAAAATGAAACATTAAGCTTCGAAATCAAGTCTCATTGAATTTTCTGTTTATTACAGTTCTTTAATTTTCACTTTACTTTTGTCTTTTCGTAATACAGTGTCATTGACTGTGACGTCAACGTTGAACAATTGAGACGTCATAGCTTAGGAATATTGTGAGATTGAAAACATTGTTACATCGATTTTAGCAACATATTTGGGAAGAAATTGGCAGTTTAAGTCTATCAAGACGGTTTAGTTACTTTCTCTATTTTATGACAGGCCAGAATATTATTTTTTACTTACTTTTTCACACTGTGAGAGAAAATAAATTTGGTATCCTTTCACACTGTGAAAGAATATTTTTATTCAATAAATAAATCACAGTATTTCACCGTTGAAATGTATTAATATATTATATATATACCAGCCTAAGCATTGACCGCATAACAAAATAAATGAAACAATAAACCTGCCTTAATGGCCACCTTAGTAAAATACAACACTATTACTTATACATAAAACAAAAGTGATAAATATATTCACGTGACCGTAAATGCCCTTGGCCTCTTGTTGGTATTCAACAAAACTTCTACAGCATCTATAATCACTCACTTATGTCTTCAATATCTTTCAATATATTCATTTCGACAATTCAAAACAGTATCAGGCATGTTACTAGTATTAAGGGATGGATGTTTCCAAACCATTATACAGAGGGACATGAGCACCGCTACCTACCAACCGTGCATCTGATTTGCACTGGCAAGAGACCAGAATATCCTTCAAAATACCTAAATCGAAAATTTATAGCGAAAGAAGAAAGCTTAAACTAATATAAATAGTATGTACCATTCGGCATTATATTTAAGGGCCGGTATGTTACAACGCACTTTATTTGGGCATGGACCGAATAAAGCTTTGGTTTATTACATTACCTTTATTGGGTCAATGCAAAGGGTAGTTGCATGATGAAAAGTCTTTTCGAATGAGAAAATGAATGTGTCCACATTCTATTCATCTGTCTCTTCTTTTCAAGAAGTGAATTTCCCAAAGCGTTGCCTTTGGTTAGTTTATTCCAAGGGTTGTCAGGTCATTTCACTATTTGAAGATTTCAATGCGTTTTACGCAGATGCCCTTATTCTATACATTTTGTAAATATAGCACGGAAGGGGGTTATTGATATTTATTATTTCATACTGCTTTACAACTCAAGTACATTGGCGACCAGATCTCTCTCTCTCTCGATCTCTCTCTCCTACAATAAAATGGATGGTTTCTGCATGTGCATAGAAAATGATCATTATACGAAATAAACACCTCCACCCCATCCCTGCCTCTCCTCGACAGACACATACACATTCACTTCTGAATTGCTAGGTAAAGTACACATGCATGTTGTTCATCCATGCAAAGAGTTTTAAAGCAAAATGCAACAACGAAAAGTACGTTATTACATTTTGCGTTAGTCCCAACGCAAACAAATGTAATAATCTAGCTAGTTAAATCCCACACAGCAAGATACAAACAAGTCACTGATCTCAATGTCGACATGACATCATCATGGTAAAAGTTGACCCACTTTTTGTGCAGTGAGAGGCGGATCAAGTAATTTCTTCACAGTGAAAATTGCATTTTATTATTTAAACAGAATATTATTTGCAGATCTTAGGTAGACTATTAATACAAATCTGAAACCTTTGTTTAGTGCCATTGTTTAAAAACTATCTAGAGAATGTATTGAATTTACCTGTTTTTGTCTATAGGGTTTGCATGTTTCACGACGAGGTGCCTCATTAAATCGCCTTTTCGCAAGATCATACACTTTATAGATCTTGATCATTTTTTGAATATACATAACGGACACAATCCAACTTGAAAAGTGCTGCTGCTTTCCTGAAATCGAGAATAAACACATAAAATACTTGGAAAAGGTCAGCCATATTTCGACTAAAGCCAAATAACTTGAAATTTAAACTAAAAAGATGCAAATTCTATTCAAAGTAGCATAAATAAGTTATATAGAAACAATTTATTACATAAATTTTTAATTTTAACTAGGTATGCCTTTGCGATATTTGAAATTTGTTTGTGATCTACAGACAGTACACAATTCAGGCATTTATCACGTGACTGTCAAATAATTTGACCAAACCAAATTCAGTACAGAGTGGGGTGTACAATGTTATTTCAAATAATATATAAGTCATGTAATAATTTAGTACCTTTATAAAAATGAATTCAGCTTAGAAAGGTATGTATATTTGCACGTTTATATTTCGTTGATTTCTTCGAAGTACGCCTCAACATTGCGTAATCCCAGTTTATTACCTTTGCTTTCCTCGACAAGATTTATAGAGATATTTTAAATATATTCCTTTGAAAAATTAAGACACCCTGTGACGGTACATACTGTCGTTTTGTACATATTATCGTCGGCGACAATATGTACCTACCCTCACTGCACATACTGTCGTCCATGGGTACATATTGTCGCCGGCTGAAAAGTTACACATGTACATATTGTCGCTTGCGACATTATGTGCCTCATCCTCACTGTACATATTGTCGCCCCACATATATTGTTGCTTAAAGATTTCTTTTGTTGTTTTTTTAGTAATTTTGTGCATGTAATTGGTGTGTGAATCACACCGACGTGTCTCGTATGCTATTTCATGCAGCGTGTTGTGACGGTACATTTTGTCGTCCTGTTCATGTTGTCGCCGGCGACAATGTGTACCTACCCTCACTGCGCATATTGTCGTCCATCAGAACATGTCGCAGGACAATGCATGGTAATGCTCCATGTAAATATCATTAATCATTGCTTTGCTCTTTTTGAGAAGATATTTTCCATATACATGATTGTATTCATATATAATTTAATTCTGGTTATAACACGGAATTTGATTGGATAAAAAAGAACTGGGAACGTTAAGTATAATAGAACGGCCCTGTCTCCAAATTTTATTTCAGTTTTTTTACAAACATGCCTACGATGTGTCCTTTTTAGATCATTTTATTTTTTTTTTAATTATCACAAACCGTTTTTCCCCGTCAGGGGTCTCGAAAAATGGGGAGTTTTCTTTAGAAATTACAAATTTTGAAGTGATAACGTCATCACGGCGTTACTGATTTTAACGTTACGTTAAAAGAAATCTGTAAATTCTCTGAACCGGTAACTATTTACCTTAACCTGCCTTATGTTCCAGAAAACAATTTTGAACTTTTATTTCAATTCATCGTAATGTATCTTTGATAGCTGGAAGGAGTAAAATATAATTTTATTACAAACGATTTCATCAGACAAGTAATGAAACTTGATTCATCCATACAGACAAGGTAGTACTTCTTTTAAAATTATGCTCGTGTCAAATTTATCATTTTTTTTTAATGTAAAAATGCCCTAATAATTTCTTCAATCATTTTCCGCATTGTCATGAAGTTACATTAAAATTTTTAAAGATACATGAATCAGTTTTAAAAAGAAAATTGGAACGTTCCATATAAAGTTGTCAAAACTGGATTTTTGGCAATGAAAAAGCCATCAACACCACTCCCATTTTCCATTCCAACAAATGGCAGCGCTATTAATTTCGTATTTTCTTTTTTTTTTTTTTTTTTTTTTTTGGATAAAC